GGTCAATAGATAGGGAGATATTGTGATGTTAAACTACAAAAATATTATGGGTAGAAATGAACACAGATCATAATCGACCGTTCAGGTTTGAGTTTGATTCCAATAATAACAAGGACTCAAATGGTTCTATCTATAAAATATTCGAAGTATAATGAGATTGACCCACCCAATGTTCAAGCCTACTTGGTTTGATGAGATGAGGGGAAAAAATTAGTTTTCAATTTTATGAATGTCAAAATTGGTGGGTACACTGGATGGATTCGCCTACATTTTAGCAAAATTCGTGGTCGTTGCAGCCCCCAGGTAGGGATGTAAAAATATCTCACATTCGTCCTATCTTGGCCCATTACCCTGTTCTAAATGGATTAATCCATTTGTACAGAAGAAAGTTTCACAGAAAGTTGTCAGAATACTCTCATAATGTGGGGCTTATCGTGAGAAAAAATTGCGAAAAAATATCCCACCCATCCCCAAAATATGTATTCGTATACATCAAGTAAAAGCCGTCCTAAATGGGACAGGAGATGGCAAAAAAGATCCCAATCCCAAACTCTACTTTTATGTTTTTTCAAATTTAAATCATATTTAAAAATAAATAAGTAAACAGGATGCTATTATTTTTATGTTTTTCAAACTCAAATCATATTTAAGAAAATAGGTAAATAAACAAGTAAATGTGGTTATTTTAATTGTCGCTCTGTCTTGTCTCGCCTTGCACAATCTTTTGTCATTTAAAATTGTGCTTTTGAACTAACCGATAACTGAGTACCTACCAATATCGCGGACTTTTTGTCCAATGTGTAATTTTTTATTTTTCTTTATTTTTTTTATTTTTTTTATTGCAATTATAAGTACTTGAAACATCAAGAAATGATGGAGTGGAATTGTTTGCTGAAACATCAAGAAATGAGAAACAGCTGGTGTGGAATTGTTTGCTGAAACATCAAGAAATGAGAAACGTTACTGCAGAAATAAATTAATTTTAATAAATTTAACTGTTTGAATTTTTAATTAGATTTGTACAAAAGATGGTATGGATAAACAATAAATATAAAAGTAAATGATGGAGCATTCTTTGAGATCCCCTAAGGTTGGGGTTCAACCTTTAATTTTTATTGAATTGAATTTCGATTTAGATCAAGTTTGGAATTATGATTGATTTTGAATTGACATTTCCCAGTTAATTTACCATCATCTTCATCTCTTTGACCAAAAAAAGGTGACTGACATTTGTCATGATAATACTCGTCGTTCTATGTGATAACACAATGTTAAAAAAAGGTTGAACTCCAACCTTGAGACCCCTCACCTTCCCGCATCTAGAATATCGTAAGGGAGGTAAATCGCGGGATGTGTTACAACAGGCCAAGGAATAAAAGTTTGCCAGTATACTGATGCCCATAAAAAGTTCAATTCCATGTCTCAAGAATCGAATCCTCACATTGCGGTTGTCAGTAAAGTTGAGACTACTTCATTCCTATCTTTTACACCACTGAATTATGCTTCGAGGGGTGTGATGACACAATGTTATTAAATAATAAATCTGGTTAATGCGAGGACGTGATATCTGTATTATTTGATCGATATCATTAGATGCCATCCAAGTATGACAATCTATTATCACCATAATAAACATTATTACTCGCTCGAAAAAAATTAGAGAAAATAAATGGAAAAACCACATCTTTAGCACCATCCTTTTCCAGTTTTCCATTTCAATAAAATCACATGCTCAAAACAATCTTTCTCCTCCCACCGCACTTGCATATACTTCAACTATTTTGGATATTATTCAAATTTTGAGGTGAGTACTTATTGGTATTTGTTCTTTTGAATTATTTTTCGAAATTCTCCTGATTTTTGCACTCTTTTCAAAATTAATTATGTTGTTTAAAATTAATTTTAATTTAAATCAAAATTAATTATATATTTTATAGAATTCACAACTTTTTAAATACACATTTTATCAAATTTTACTAAAAATAAATAAAAATCTAATTTTAATCTTCACTAGACTTGACGTAAACGTGTCAAATGTTTATTTGATATCCATTTTGCAATTAAAGAAAATAACTTACAATCGGACCGGACCGGCCCCATTGAACAGATCCATCCCAACTCAGAATGCCCTAAAGCCCGAAAGCCCTGACCCTAATCCCCTCGCACCTCCCAAACCCTAAACTCGCCTGTCACTTCCACCGGCAAGATTTTTTTTGTCACTGATAGCTGTAATAATTTAAGGAAAGCCCCAAAATTTTGCGAAAATGGGAAAAACTAAAGAGAAGAATGGTAGTATGAAGCTGTTTGATGATGACAGTAATGTGTTGGATGATGACGTTTCGAAGATTGAGATTAATCGAGAATTTGCCCGTCAATATGAGCACAATAAGAAGAGGGAAGACTTGCAGAGAATCCAGGAGCTGGAAAAGAAAGGGGTCATCAATTTTAGTGATAATGATTCAGAAGAGTCTTCGTCGGAAGAAGAAGAGGATGTACTTAGACCAAGTAAGAAAGAGGATTTGGAATTTTTTGATGCTTTGATTAAGGTGAAAAGAAAAGATCCTTTGTTAAACAGTAAAGATGCAAAGTTGTTCATTTCTGATTCTGAGTCAATGTCGAAGGATGAAAATGATAATAAGAATGAGAACTCAAAGCACGATAATAACAATAATGATGGTAGAAAGGGGAAGAAACCCATGTACTTGAAAGATGTTGTTTCAAAGCATTTAATTGAAGAGGGTCCGGAATTTGATGATGAAGATGAAAATGTGAATAATAGGAATAATGATGGTAATCTGAAAGTAAAGAGTTTTGCGGAAGAACAAGAGGAGTTGAGGAGGGAGATTTTAAAGGAGTTTGAGGTAGCTGCGAATGTTGATGAGGAGGAAGGGGATTTTTTGAGAGAAAAAAATGGCGACGGTAAAGAGGAGGAGGATGACGGTGAAATTGGGAAAAAGCTGGATGATTATTTTGGGGAGGATGAACAGTTAGATGAGGACACGAGATTTTTAAAACATTATTTTCGGAATAATATGTGGCTTGATGATAGTAAAAATATTAATATCGTGGATAAGGATGTTGGTTTTTCTGAGGATGAGGAAGAGATAGAAAAGCAAGAGGATTTTGAGAGGGGGTACAATTTTAGGTTTGAGGAGAATGCAGGGGATAGAGTGATGGGTCATTCAAGAAAAGTGGAGGGTTCGGTGAGAAAGAAAGAGAATGCTAGAAAGTTGCAGAGGGATAGGAAGGAAGAGAGAAAGTTGCAGGCTGAGTTTGAGCGGAATGAGGAATTGAAGCATTTGAAGAACTTGAAGAAAAAGGAGATTAAAGAGAAATTGCAAAAGATTAGAGAGGCTGCTGGAATTGGAGAGGATGGCACTTGTTTATTGGACGAGGATGATTTGGAGGAAGAATTTGATCCTGAGGAGTATGACAGGAAGATGAAGGAAGCATTTGATAATAAGTATTATGACACAGAGGATGTGAATCCAGAGTTTGGGAATGATAGCGACGATGATGCAGCTGAGTATGAGAAACCTGATTTTGATGAGGAAGATAGATTGCTTGGTCTTCCAAATGGTTGGAATGAGGAGAATGAAACTGGAGATGGGTTCTTGTCAGCCAGGCAAAGAATTTTGAAAAGCAAGGTAGATGGGGAATATGAAAGTGAGCTTGTAGAAGATGAAGAAAACCCTAAAGTGGGTAAGCGGAAGAGAGAGAGGAAGCCTAGCGAAGTGGAGAATGCAATTAGAGAGCAATTGATGGAGGAGTATTATAAGTTGGATTATGAGGATACAATAGGAGACTTGAAAACGAGGTTCAAGTACAAACCTGTCAAGTCCAAAAGATTTGGACTGAGCACCGAGGAGATTTTGATGCTGGATGACAAGGAGTTGAATCAGTATGTCTCTTTGAAGAAGTTGGCTCCTTACAGGGAGAAGGAATGGAAGGTACCTCGTATTAGAACATACCAGCAAAAACTTAGGAACAAGGCGCTTCTTGAAGGAGAGACATCAAATGCTAAAAATAAAGATAATAACAAGACACGACTCAATGGTCTGGAAAAACCAAAAGTGGTTAGTGCGGCAGAAAATGAGAAATCACAAATAGAAGAATCAAATGGTGAAGCAACAAATCTGTCCAGACGAAGTAAGAGAAGACGTCGTCAATCAGAACTCAAACTATCTCGTTCGAGGCTTATGGCATATGGTAAAATCCATTCCAAACCTAAGAGTAAGATGCTCTAGAGCAGAGAATGATCAAAATTTTGCCAATCAAAGGTATAACTACCATGAACTCAGACTTCTTGTGTTCTTCTACAATTATTCATATTCTTCTTAGTTAACTACCTAGCAAAATTTGACTAATCTTTTGATGGACAAATTTTGACAAGAAAAGAAATATGTGCGCATGAAATTCTGTATAATCAAGTAATGTTGAGGGAAGAAGATTATATTGAACTTCAAAATTGTGGTTGTTGAAGCTGGTTTCGACATCCATCAAAGTTATTCCCAGTTGTCTAACTTCTTTTCTTAACATTTATGCTGAACAATTTATGGAACAAATGAATTTCAGAAAAATTGGATCTATTTATTCCAACCCATAGGATTGATTTTTCACTTCAACTTATTCAAATTCAAAGTTAGTTTGTTCTCCCCGGTATGCATTGAGGTTCAATAGTTGACTGGACATCTAGGGATACAACACTTTTGTGGTGTTGCCGCGAACACACTAAAACTATAGTCTGCCTGTCGAACCATATTAAAAGTTTGTTCTTCTACTGACTTGGTTGTTTCTTTAGATGGTTTAGAAAAGTATCTGATGAAAGTAAGTTTGAAATCTATTTATGGTATAAATAATATGTAGTTTAGCCAATACTGTTATGTTGAAAGAGTCATGCAACACACAAAATGGTTTTCATAAAGTACTCTTCAATCTTTTCCAATTGAAACTTGAGATAGTAACAAATTCAAGTTGAAACACCTTGGTATCAAGTTTTACAGTATGCTGATTTCAACATGGGCATGTTGACTCATTAACTTGTTTTTATTTTGGAAATGTTTTTGGGTTTAACATTAGCCTGTACGTGAATGATAATTTGAGATTTGGACCTTTTTATGTGAAAAAGGAAGAGAGTGGGACTACTGTTCAATTTATCAAGTACTGTTGGAGAATGACCGTCTGGCTCTGAACCATAAATTACGTACTTATTAGGGGAAGAAAGCTATAATATGATATATTATCTTATTTTCCAGTTTAAGATCATGGTTTTGATTTGAAAATTTTCGAACGAAAACCAGTGTCTCTATCACTAAACCAGTTAGCATTGTTGGTGGTTTTTGTTCAGTTCTGGGTTGTTTGGGCTTATCAATTAGCTGCTGCTTAAATTCTGTAGAGTGAAATCTAACTCCTCTTGATTCTTTAACCACATTTTTACTACTAAATTCAAGTCAAAATATAAGCCCCCTATTTGGATTCCATTAAAATGCGTTTTTGGGGAAAATGCATTTTGGAATAGTGGTTTTATTTGAAGAATGTGATTATAAAAGGGGAAAAAAAAATTGGTTTACCTGTAATATTATTTTATTGTAGAATGTGAGATTAAAAAGAGAAAAATGCATTTTAGGTCAAATGGAGCCCAAACCTGGGCTAAGTACCATGAAATGGTTTCTCACTGCTAAGTACCATGAAATGGTTTCTCACTATGTGATATTCGCCTAATGAATTGAGATCAATGTCAACATCAACATATGTCAGTGTAAAGAAGCCAGTTTGTAAGGGGATTTTTATATCATTGGAGGAGCAACAGCAATGACAGAGGCAGAGGCAGAGGTCATAAAGCACCGTGTTCTTGCCTGTAGTTTAAATCCTCACCCCTTAAGCTCCTCACCTACAACCCCTTCCTCCCAATCCATTAAAAGAATTATAACATTCATTATAATCGATTTCCGTTATTTTTTATTAATTCTTTATACCTTTCCTTTTTATACTTGAGGCATATGTCCTGTTTGTCACAGCCAATTATTGAGTTGGAATTTTGTTTATCAAGGGTCGTTCAACATTAAGTGATATCTATAAACTCATTAGGAAACATTATAATTCCAAAGAGTATTATTCGTTTCACTGTACATGTATATAGATGACAGAACCCACATTCAATATGTTATTCTGTAGAAAATCGACTACCATATCGTGTCATATGATGTTAGTTCGGACGCTGGAGGTTAGTTCAAGACCATTGATGTATTTAAACAATGCATTGTGGATTCAAAGTTGCAATTAACATTTAATGTCTTGCGTCGTTTTCATCTTCTTGCCCTTTTTCTTTATTTTGATGGCCTATGGTAATTAGGAAAGAATAGTAATGAAGTGATGGTTTTTAGAATTTGGAAGAAACTTCTTACTGAGTTTAGGCTTTCTAGGGCTCTAATTTAGTGGCCATATCCATTCATTGGCAACCAGTTTTTCTTTTTTTGATTTATTCATGTTTGGCTAATCTTGAATGAAATCAAAAGTTAGCTTTTATCTGCAAATATGTTTATTTGCGTACTATTCGTTAATTTTAAGTTAAAAAAATTACTTACTATGGAAGTTACTTTTACTTCACTTCAGTATAAGCAACTTGATTTTCCAAATTTTTATAGATGAAATACTTATTGACTTCTAAGTAAATGTTTAAGCTTAGCCTAAAATGTTGTGGACACAGTAAAATGTAACTTTGTTTTTGGATTTCATTGTAAATAGTTTGATGAACACTTGGGAAGTTGTTTATACCATGCTAGCAAAGGTGATTCATTGTAATTACTTGCTTTTCGTCATAGATTCTTGTCACCAAGAGTGCCTGTATCTGGGTTCTGTGGGTTAATGTTGTTTCAATTATGCTGTTTTACCAGGGTAGAACCCCTACGTACCCTCACAGCAGGTGGGTCCCATGGCTGTGTAAAAAAATTGGCCAAAATCCCCCCCACCCCCCATGTTGTGAATGCTCCGTACCCTGTACCCCAAGCATTAAGCATAATTCATGTTGTTTACTATGTAGCTTTTGTGTCAAATGCGTTTTGTCCCTATCACCGTGAAGTTTGATGCTATAACCTTGGAGAAATATGCCTAATTTATGCTTATTTTTGTTTATCGCTGTTTCTATTATAGTATTTGTTTTCAATTTAACTAACTACTGCAAACTTTCTGAACAGGATGTGAGATTTCTTACATAGTTCATCACCTGTGCCAAATATTATCATCAAGAGGAGCAAGGCAAAACATTTGATTCGCTAGAAAGGCTTACGAGATCACTAACTGCAAAAGATTTTTGTTTAATGCTTTCGACCCAACACTGGAGGATCTTGAAGTAGAAAATCCATACGAGACCTACAATCGCAATTTTGTTCAAAACTGAAGTAATGACTATGTTTTATTTATTTTTATCATCTCTTTTGAAATTTTTTGTGTTGTGAAACCCATCAGATTTGGCATATAAGAGTCGTAAAATTTTAGAATCGATAATTTACATGATTTATTGATCCCGGTAAGTATTGTGTGTGTGATTTTCTGTTCTAGGTGATAAATGTGCCTTACTTTTTGCTGGTCTATAGTCCATTGTAAAACTCAGTTGGATATTAGCCTTTCAATCTCATTCTTTCAGCTTCATCTTATGTGGGATTGTGCATATTTTGTTTTTGGAAGCTTCCCCGCCCCCTCCTCCTAGTAGTAATTGGCAGTTTTTTCATGACTAATGCATGTTTGGGTGTGCTTATAAGCTTGCTTTTTTTACTTACAAGGAAAAGAGAAAAACAAAAAAGGCTCAAATAAACCCACCCAAAAACAGATTTTACACGACCAACTTAGATGCTTGAACTAAGAAAAGTTTCGTGATATTGTTGGGTGGTTTGCTTAATGGTCATGCATATTGTACTTTTATCATTATTAATGTTATGAGAATCATATTGGATTGACATGTTTGACTGAAACATTTTTTCTCATTTGGGAGTTAGAATTAATCCCCATTTATCTGCTATATCAATGTGGGGAGAAAAAATACGTATGTATTCAGCTACCAAATTTAGGGCCTGTTTGGGCTCGATTTTTTCTCCCTAAAAAATTGATTTTTTGACCGTTATTTCACTATTCCAGCCGTCATGTTTGACTTCTTCTCTCACGGGTAGACCCCACTTTTCTTCTAACGGTCAAAAAATCAATTTTCAAAATCACTCTCAAACAGCCTCTTATTTTCCTTTGAGATTAGGAGGCTGTTTGGGAGTGATTTTGAGAATTGATTTTTTGACCGTTAGAAGAAAAGTGGGGTCCACCCGTGAGAGAAGAAGTCAAATATGACGGCTGGAATAGTGAAATAACGGTCAAAAAATCAATTTTTTGGGCGAAAAAATCGGGCCCAAACAAGCCCTAGGAATTGATAACATTCCCGTTTTATTGATGACATTCAACGCACTTCATTCGATTTGTTACTTCGAATTCTTGACTATTGAAAAATGATTGGTAATGTAGTCCGGTAACATATGGAAAATTTGAAAACATAAAAACCATTAAAATATATATTGTCATTGCAACCTATCTAAACTCTAATGCTTATGCTCATTTCGAGCTTGCTAGTAATATAGGTGGAGGTTGGCCTTAGGGTTTATGCGCTTAGAGCGTGTCCATTGGTGTTTCAAATTATATCTAAGTTGTGATTTAGATCTTTAAAGTAATAGAAAACTTCTCCAATGGAGAAAATCAAATAAAATGCAAAGTGCATTTTAATTTTCGACAAAAAATGTAAAATATGATGCAAAATTCATCTGTATTAGATCTACCCGTGAAACCCACAAGAAACAAAAAGCTACAACCATTTTCACTCAATTTTTTCTAGATCTTTCAATTGGAACATAATTTGAATTTAGATCCACAGATATGTAAATGAAGATATAAAAGTGATTTTGAGAATATTAATTTACAGTCAATTTTATACTATTATTGAAGATGCTATTGGTGTTGGATACCCTTGGGCACCCCAAGAGTCCAAGTAAACTTACACTTTAGAGTTTATTTTCGTTATTTATTTATTTATTTATTTTGTATTAAAAAATTGAAATAACAAATTAATTTCCCAAAGAAAAAAACAAAATGAGGGTGAATTTATTTATGGTCCCCACATTGTTTTCTTCAATGTAAATTCTGATTTACACTATGTTTAATTGTGTTTTCTTCTCCAATATGAGAGAAAAAATAAAATAAAATCCTAATTTGATTTTCAAACAAACGTGGTGCGACTGCAGGGAAAATAAAGAAATTGCCGAATCAAGATCCGACGACCGAGTCTTCACGTTAATACCGGAAAACTCCCAATCCAACGGGTCAAATAAGTTACATTCTCTAGCGTCAGATCCTCGATCAACGGCTCATATCAAACCATGTGGGCCCACCCCATCCTCTAGACATATATATAAACCCTACTCATTATTCTTTCTCACACATACTGTATGTTATTGTTTGTGTTTTTTTGTTTCAAAATTTTCTTTTACTTATCCTGCTCACTTACCACTGCATATGCTGCGCACCATCGCCGGAGATGAAACCGGCGTCGGAGTATATGTTAAGAAAATCGAGGTACAGGAGAAGGTAACCCACTAGCAAAAAAGATCAACGGCTAGGATTTTATCAGTGGATCCCGCTGTCAAGAATGGACGGTCAGAAGCTTACTAGGAACCACTCATCACTCCTCCGGTCATCTCCCACCGTCCGATCATCCATCCACAGCTTATCTTCCATGAACAAGATCACGCCTGATGAAGTAATAGAGGACCTCGAAGAGCAAAAACCCCACAGCAGGCCCGGTTCGACGCAGGTTCGATCCGGTTCAGTGCGTCTGACTCTGGTTGTTGCCATCCTGTTCCTCTATTTATACACCCTTTTCGCCTTTTTCAACACGGACGACATAGCCACCTCTGAAAATCTGCTTTTAGGGCTTATTTTTATCGCGGTTTTACTTTTTTTCGCCTCGAAAAATAAGTCAGTAGTCCACAGTAGCTTCCACAGTAGCTTTAGTTTTTGTAAGGAATTGTGTTATGAGTGTAAAAAAAAAGTTGGGTTCCCCTGTTTCACCTCCAAGAACAATGAAAAGTCAGTGAAATGGTTCATTGGTGAATCAAACTTAGATTACAAAGAGAGTCCTAAGAAAATTATTAGAGAAGGTGTGGAGTTTTACAGTAATGGGGATTACTATGAAGGTGAGTTTCACCAAGGTAAATGCAATGGGAGTGGAGTTTACAATTACTTCGCGAATGGACGATATGAGGGAGACTGGATTGATGGGAAATATGATGGGTATGGAGTCGAGAGTTGGTCAAGGGGGAGTCGATACCGTGGGCAGTATAGGCAGGGATCGAGGCAAGGCTATGGAGTTTATAAGTTTTACACTGGGGATACATATGCTGGGGAGTGGTGTAATGGGCAGAGCCATGGGATTGGAATGCAATCTTGTGCTGATGGTAGCTGTTACATTGGAGAGTTCAAATATGGGATTAAACATGGCCTTGGGTGTTACCATTTTAGGTGAGAATTGATATTCTTTGATGCATGTTTCTATATGTTTGATTTTCTTTTCCTCGATTATTTCACTATTTTTAGTTGACACGTGAATCTTGTTGGACTATATGGAACATAATTGTACTATTGGTAGCTGAAAATTTGCAGCAATAAGAATTGACCTTTTTTAATGCTTGTTTCTAACTGTTCAATTTTGTTTCTACCCTTTTTCATAGCTTTTGAGTTGATATGTGAATCCTGTTGGATAATGTGGAGCCTAATTGTGGTGTAGATAGCTGGAAATTTTGCAGTGATATGTACACCACTGTTAGTCTATATGCGCATTGTTTGCTCTATAACGGAGTTAAGTTCAAGGTTTAATCAATGGTAGATTTTACATGTGATTGGCTCTGTGTTTGATCTGATGATATCTGTCTTTGTTCAACAGAATAAGTGATGATGTTTGTTACTAATGTTGTTTGAGTCGACTTTGTTTAGTTACAAAATGTTTGGACGATCCTACTTTGTATACTTAGGGCCTGTTTGAGCCCATATTTAGCAAAGAATGTATTTTGGAATAGTAGATTGATGGGGAATGTGTAGTTAAAAAATAAGGAAATGTTTTGGGTTTACATGTAATATTATTTTATAGAAAAATGTGTGATTGAAAAGAAAAAAGAGAAAAATGTATTTTGAAAATAACGGGGATCGGACAAGGGACTAGTCTTCGTAGACGGATTTACTTTATGTTGTTTTGAGTTTTGTATGAGATGCTGAAAGTTTTTGGAGTTCATGTCTTCTGTATGTCAAGTTTTTGTACGTTCTTGATAGATAGAACAATGGATAGGTTTTCTGTATATGTGGTCTAATTTGGTTCTGATTATTTTGATCTCTTCAAGATCTAGATTCATTAGTTATTGAAGGTACTCGAGAATAATGATGAATTTTGATTGTCTTGTAGAAATGGAGATAGATATGCCGGTGAATATTTTGGTGATAAAGTTCATGGTTTTGGCGTATATCACTTTTTGAATGGTCATTGTTACGAGGGATCATGGCATGAAGGACGAAAACAAGGTTATGGTATGTATGCTTTCCGAAATGGTGAGACGAGATGTGGCGAATGGGATGGTGGAAATCTTAAGGCGCCCCTTCCCTCTCTAAACGATGCAGTTCTACGAGCTGTTCAGGTGATGATGTTAACCCTCTCTCAAAGCACGGAAATTTCTTCTTAGAAGTTACTTTTCTTGAAAATAAGTTTTGTTAGTAAAAAGGTAACTTTTGAAATCATGGTTGAGTTTTAAGCACAGCCAAATGCTCGCTGGCCCTATAACTCATGTCTGATTGACAGTTCACTATCGTTGCAGGCTGCTAGAAAAACTGCAGACAATGCAATAAAACTGCGCAAGGTGGACGAACAAGTGAACAAGGCTGTTACGGCTGCAAACCGAGCTGCCACTGCTGCCAGAGTTGCTGCGGTGAAAGCTGTTCAGAACAGGATCGATGGAAAATTCTGCAATACTTATGTTTAAGGTATCGTCCATAAATGTAAATCTTCCAAGTTAATCCAGTGAAAATGAAATATGAGCACCCCGATAAACATTTTGCTTATCGGAGGTTGAAATTATGTTGTGGTTTAGTGCAATCTGTACATAGTTCATGCAATATCAATGAAAAGTAAAAATAAATTTTCAGCGAGTTCATTATTTTCTCAATTCCACTTGTAGTTGTTACCATAGTTCGGTTCATTGTGAAATCGAATTGAAGATGAAAAGTACAAGTATTTTTAGCAACAAGGGTAAAGCCCCAAGCAAATTATGTGCATCAAGATTTGTTACAAGATTTGAAAAGGTAATAAAGTTACACAAACAAATATAAATATATGGGATTGAATATGAAAAATATATGCAGAATTGGCAGTAAAGTACAAACAAATTCTGTTGACCTTTCTTTGGTTTTGAGGGAAAAAGAGGACCAAATTTTAAAGCTGCTAAGGGGAATGAATCAATAAGGGAACATGTTATTGTCACTCTATTTAATGATAAAAGAAAAGGTTGAACCTCAACCTTGAGGGTCCTCACTACCCTGCCCTCGGAGTATCGTGAGGGAAGTAAATCAAGGGATGTGCCTCAGTAGATCATGGAGCAAGAGTTTGTTCGTATACTGATGCTCACAAAGAGTTCAATTACATATGTTAGGAATTAAACTATCATACTGCGGCTGTCAGCAAGACTGCAATTATCTCAGTTCTGTCATTTAAACCACTGAATTATGGCCCAGGGGTCTAATGCATTAGATTCTCTCATTTTGGTCCACATTTGGTTTTTGAACTACATTTTCCAATGCATGCGAGAGAGGTTGGTCTATACAAGCAATGTATGGTTGGTCCTAACACATTATGACATGTTAAGTATGTAGAATTGTATATGATCAAAATGAATAAAGCACATCACGCGATCTAGAGGGGTTTTGGTGGGGATAAAAATTAGATTTTTTATAGAAGTTTTTGAAATGTATAGTTGAAAAGTAGCGAGTCCAATTAAATATGTAGTTAGAATTTAATGTTAATTTTGAATTAAGATTTTAATCTAAAACAAACAGGTGCAGTATGCACAAAACATATTAAATTATTATCACCCTCTTTACAATTCCAATGTCACAAAAAACATGTCGGATATTCTAATATATCCTACATTCTGTCAAAATGCATGTAACAAAAAAATAAAAATAAAATAAAAAAATCTTAAAATGAAAAGGGAGAAAAACCACGTATTTTCTTGATGTGGGTTGCCTATAATTCATTAAACTTGTGACCCCTCATGTGCCCTTTTCATCTTCAAGTAGAATAATGTAATAATTTTCATTATTCTTATAAAAGAACATGCCGGTGTAGGGTGGGGTGGTCTTTGTTCAAAGATCTGAAACGTTTTTAGATTTGTTGCATTCTTGAATGGACCATGCTAGTACAGAGTCCATGTGACCCTCTACAACCATTATAACCCTTCTTCAATCTCTGATATGTTCAATTTCTTAGTCAGTTTCTATCTTATCTTCTTGTCTTTTTATTTATTATTATTATTATTATTATTTTTTGGTACGATAGCTCAAGGAGTTCAAATGAGAGATTCAATGTGTCAAATCGAATTTTAAAGTTAAATATTCTAAGATGAGTTATTAATTTGTAGCATATGTTAAGAGCTTGTTTGGGAGTGATTTTTCCCCCCAAAAAATTGATTTTTTGACTGTTATTTCACTATTTCAGTCGTTATATTTGACTTTTTTTTTTTATAGATGGACCTCATTTTTTTTCTAACGGTCAAAAAATCAATTCATAAAATCACTCTCAAACGGGCTCTAAAAGATGTAAAAACTTGAATTATCATTGTTAACAAAATTGATATCATAAGGTGGAACTTCAAAACTAAATTTATTTAACTTACATGTTTTCGAATAGAAATCTTTAACCATACAATAATGTGAATTAATACAAATGGAATTTAACTAATTTATTTATTATTATTATTTTTTTTTTTTGGGATTTCATTGACCATTATATAGAAAAAGTTGAAGAAAAAAATCTTAGTAAACTATATGGTTTTAATTTGAAATTGCCTATATGCTTTATTGGAGGTTTTTTTTTCCTTCCTAATAATGTTTATTATGATGTGAGATGTTGTAGCTCAAATGAATGAGGTAGGTGTTGGCTCATTCAATTTTATTTTTCGACTAAGATATACGGTTTGCCTGTAATCTTGACTTTCTTGCTGTTACAGGCCCGACTTCTATTAATTTAGTAGATTGTATTACTATTCCTATTTAATTTCGTGCGATGCACTTTTTTAATTAAATTTTCCATTTTACCTAAAAAAAAAAGAAAAAAAAAAGAAATGCCTTATAACACACACACACACACACACACACACACACACACACACACACAAGCGCATGTGTTAGGTGTTGTGCGAGCTTAAGTGTTTAAGATTGAGTTATTGTTCAGTAATCGAAAAAATGCGAGGAATTGCAAGTGAGATGTCTAAGATAAAAGAAATGAGGGAGAGAATCAACAAAGAAACTATGACATTAAACTGTGAATGAAATAGCGTGATAAGAATTCTTGAGACGTTAGGTAAAAAGTCAATGGATGTTGGAGCTACTCCAATTGCCTTTGCGAATATCATCGGCATTGTAAAAATGTCCTTATTTCCTCGATTCCTTTCATCACATGAAGTCTATCATTGTTGAAGTAATTATGTAGTTATTATATATACATAATCTGATACCCTAAACTAGAGGGCAAAGATAAGCATTCTTCGAGTTAGGTAATAGCGTAAGCTTATTCTTTCCTGTTCCTAGTGGTACCAAAGCTCCGTTATGTCAAGTTATCTTATCGGTCTCTCAAGAAAAATGGATATCTCCAAAAAATATTTTAATTTCAATTATTATTATTATTATTATTTTTCCCGCTATCCACTTGGACATAACCTTCTTAATATTAGGTCTATATTCTTCACTTTTGTGAATATGAAAAATGTACCAATCCTTTTCTCTATCTATCTATATCTAATTTTCAATTGGATTGATTCATTTGAATTGGTACGTTCTAAGAATACCAATCCTTATATTAGTTTATAAGTAACTAAGGAACCATTTATTGCAATGGTAAGTCGCCTAATTTGGCGCCTTTGGACAATTTTATACACTTTGGTCTAATACATTAATAAATAGGGGTAGTTCCTAAGTTCTTCCTTACTTCCCAAGAAATTGAAAAGGACACTCTTATTCTTACAAGAAAGTCTCAATTTGACTTGTTCCTATGTTTTGGAGTAACCTCCAAGAATGAACATGAAGGTAGGTTCAACTAACTTATAGAAATCGGACAGTGTATATTTTCTTGACATGTTTGGTGTGTCCGATTAATTAGGGCAATTCACAAATTATTTCACATCGCCCTTTTTTCTGAATCACATTTAATGTTGTTTAATATAACATCCTATAAGTGTCTCAATAATTATGTTAATATTTAAATTGGGCTTGGCAAAATTTTTTAGATTGAACATTTTATGTGAAAAGATAAACTCCAAACCCTTCTGAGTTATTGGACTTTGGAGGTATCAATATCAAAGAGAGGATAAATGAAAAGTAATTTCAATTAGACCTACTTATAAAAGTTTCTTAGGGACATGTTATTTTTGAATTATATTATATATATATATGGGAGAAGCGTTCCTTCTATACATGAATTTGACAAGTATTTTTGACAAATAATCGTGACTTTAATTTAAACTAATCCAACGGTCAATATATATTTCACTAGGATCCTGGAAAAGTTAGTTATAACTACTTGAAATTCATAAGATACTAATTGTTGGATTAGCTTAAATTAAAGGTAACGATTATTTATCAAGTCCATGAGTAGGAGGAACGCTCTCCTATATATATATATATATATATATATATATAGTGTAAGCAAATCAAGTTACTAGGAACTTAGCTATAACAAGTACATTAGAACTTATAATTTTGAGATTACTATGAGTAAACTCAGGATAAGATCCTAATAAAAAATTAACTTGACTTGATCGAGCTATCATTAATAAGTGAAGCAAACTTTATTTAAAAAAATTGCAATTTTTAAATAGTTCAAACTATCATTGTAGTTGAAAAATTCAAGCACAATCGAATTTCGTCAAGAAATTATATAACAAATTAGGATTTATTCTTCAACTCGACTGAGCTGCATTTGCACCCTTGTAATAAATGGTCAGCTCTTTCTTGGGGCAAGTTGACAGTTGTTGTAGATGACAAATGAGTTGAAAATTCTCATTGATTTTTTCAAGTTCTTGGTAGACATAAGGTACATTTATAGAGATCATTTCATAAATTTCCAACCTCCCTTTACTTGGTCAATATGATTTTTAAAAAGTAGTTGCCATTTTGACAATAATCTCTATGTCGATATCTTCAAGGCAATCAATTTAAAACAAATTTATAGGTTTATTTGTGATGGAGAAGTAAATTTTTATTTGCCTTGATTTTTTATTTGTCGTAAAAAATTTCATTGCAATATTGTAGTATTTATTTATAACTTATTGTGCATCATAATAAAAATTGAGTTTTAGACAAAATTTGGAGAGCCCATCAATTTTATGCAGGTGACAAGCAATTTAATCACGTGTCATTTAAATCAAGCATGTACATACTATTGTGTAATTGGTAAAAGTCATTGTCAACTTTGATGCTTGGTCTAGTTTCTAACTAGCATCTATTATCAATATAGCTATATTTTTTATTCAGTAGAATAATTCAGAATTATGCCATTTGCACTTGATGATTTACATGTTGGTTGACACGGTTCCACCCAACCTCTCACATGGGAGAGGTCGGGGTCCACGCCCAAATGTGTGGGGCCGACCTCCCCATGTGAGAGCGGAGGTGGGCTCGTGTCAACCAACCTGTAAACTTTCATTTACCCATATCAAGATCCAATAATTCAGGATAGATTTTGTTAGTATATAAAATATTTTTAAGTTGATGATCATCTCGGGTAAATAGGCTATTACGAATGAATTTGTGTAGATGCATGCAACAATTCATGGTGTGACTGGGCGATTTTATAGGGGAATCGACAAGAAAGTATTAGTAAGATTTCAAGTTATACCATATCGAGTGTGAGTATTATCGAAGTGTTCAAGTAAAAGATACA